AAAGGCAAAGAGGAAAAGAGGATGAGGGAAAAGGGGATCAAGGGGAGAGAAAGCATTTTGGCCCATTTATCCCTATTTTAACCCCAGTCCCTCCCTGTGACAGCACATGGAACGGCCCCCCGTTCCCCCCAGCGGGGGGTTCCGGTGCTCCCGGAGGTCCCTCCCGCTCCCAGCTCCCGGAATTCCCGTCCCTCACCTCCGCTTGCCCTTGGGGGGGCCCCTGACGAAGCACCAGTCCACGCTGACCGGCTGCCCCATGAGCTCCTGCCCGTTCAGCCCCTCCATGGCCGCCTGCGCCTCCTTGTACGTCTCGTACTCCACCAGCGTGTAGCCCTGGGGAGGGATCGGGGATGGCGTTGGGAATGGGAATGGGAATGAGCCCGGGAACCCCTGGCTCAGGTTTGGGGGGCAGGGACCCCCTGACACCTTGGGACTGGGATCTGGAATTAGAATGGGAATCAGCCCAGGCATGGTGGGAAGCCCCAGCTCAGGTTTAGGGTACAGGGACCCCCCGACACTCTGGGACTGGGATCTGGAATGGGAATGGCATTGGGAATGAGCCCAGGCACAGCTGGAACCCCCAGCTCGGGTCTAGGGGGCAGGGACCCCCCAAACCTGCCAAGCAGCTCAGTTTTAGGGTGTAAAGCCCCCCAAATAAGTCACTTTTGGGGTGCACAGTCCCCCTGTGACCCCAAAAATCAGCTCACTTTTGGGGTGATCCCACAGGACCTCCGAGCCCGGACTCCACTGGGTCAATTCAACCCTCCCACGAGCCAAAATGGAGCTGGGGGGGTGCCCCCCAAACCCCTCCCAGTCCTAACCCTGAGCCCCCCAGGGCACCTTGAGGTATCCCGTGCGCCGGTCCAGGTTCAGGTGGATGTTCTTGATCTCCCCAAATTCAGCAAAGCGATCGTGCACGTCCTCCTCCGTGGCCTCCTCGTGCACCCCCGTCACGAACAGGATCCAGCCCTCCACGGCTTTGGGGGGGGGAAAAAGGGGGTCAGGGGGCTGGGAAAAGGGGGATCCCCCCAGGAATCCCACCCTCAGGGAGGGGATGTGGAGCTCCCAAGGCTGAGATTTGGGGGTTGAGCCAAAATCAATCCCGGGAATTGAGGGGGGGAGTCCTGACCTGGAGCTCAGGAATCCCCCCTATTCCTCCTCCTTCCCACTGAGAAGTGTCCCTAAGAAAAGGTGTGTCCCCCAAATTCCACAGCTGGGAAGGGGAGATGGAGCCCCAGAGTCCATAAATTCTGGGAAGGGGGAAAGGGATCATCCCAACCCAGAGTTCAGGACCCCCCAGCCCCCCATTCCCCTTCCCTTCTACAGGGAAGGTGTCCCTGTGACACTCAGAGGCTGTGAGGTCCCCAAGAAGTGGTGTCCCCCCAAAATCTCCCCCATTCCCCCCCTTGGGAAGGGGATACAGAGCCCCCGAGTTTGAGATTTGGGGTTTGCCCCAAAATAAATCCTGGGAATGACGGGGGCAGTTGGAAAAAGGATTATCCCAGCAGGGCTGAGCCCTGACCTGGAGCTCTGGACTCACTGTGTCCACCATGTCC